GCAGAATATTACTGTGTGGCTGTACGGGTCTTCCCAGCTAAATATCAAGGGTTGGGAACTTCCCTTCGAGGAATTCCACAGAACTAGATGCCTTACATACCGATCAAGCTAGGAATTGCTAAGAAAGATGAGCATCCATTTAATAGAATTAAATCCGGACCAAATTGCTAGTTGTGAGTAGATTAGCTGCTTTGGACTGCTTCTTTGGACACTTGGTGTCACAGTGGAGATGAGAGGCTGGCTAGTGGATGCCAGTGAGAAGTTCATGCTAGGCCTCTTTAAACAGGGATATCAAAGGTTCTAAAGACATTGATTACTCCTGCAGGGCAGCTAAAAAAAACAATGAAGTTTATTTTTTTTATGTTATAAGAAAGGCAGCTGGGATGGGGAGAATAGTGATGAGTTACTGAGGAAAACAGAAAGAATGAGTCATTCCATTGGAGTGAGAAAAAACTGGGAGTCCTAACATCCTGGCCATGACCCAGTGGACAACAATAAAGAGTATAGCTTTTAGTGCTCTGGTATTTACTGTTGGTCAGGATTGAAGATACGTGTATCAGAGCTGAGGATGAAGTTGCATTGATTGAGTGCTTGTCTAGCAAGCTTGAGGCCACGGGTTCAATCTTCGGCATTGCATACACTGGGTGGTGGACATATCTACAGTACTAACACTTGGATGATCAGAAGTTCAAGATGACCTTCAGCTACATAGTGAGCTTGAGGCTACCCTGGGCCACATGAGACCCACTTTAAAAATGTATATCACTCAATGTGCTGTGATTCCAGAAAATGGGAGGTTGAAACAGGATAGTTCAAAGCCAGTCTGAGCTAGGTGGAGAGAGAGACTCTGTCTCAAAAATATACAAAATATGTGTATCATCTACAAGCATGGTAATTGAAACAAAGAAAAGTTGAAAATGACAAGAGATGATGAGGAAAAAAATACATCCTCAATCAATAATTTTCTCCAAGATCTCCCACTTTACTCTTACGCGTGTCTAAAGCTACACTTTTCCCATTTGACTTGGATATATGCATTCTCTATCTCCCATCCTTGCTCACTGGCTTTTGGTTTTGAAGCTCCAAAGTTTTTGTGCTTTTCCTACCAACCAAGATGCAAAGCTCTCAGCTGCTGCTCCAGCACCATGCATAACACCACGCTCCCCTCCGTGTTGATAATAGACTAAACACCTAAAACTACAGCAAGTCCCACCCCGCACTTAAATGTTTTCTTTTATAAAAGCTGTCTTGGTCATGGTGTCTCTTGACAGCAATAGACCAGCAACTAGGACATACTCAAAGGCATTTGCTTGCCATCTTGACCACACAAGTTGAGCATATACCAAGTGTTCCTGCCCACCATTTTAACCTCTGGAACAAATATTCATGACCTGGAGCGAAATATGACAAGAAATCTTTCCTTTTTAAACTATGCCCTTAAATTGCGACTGCTCAGGATTGTGCCTTCTTCAACAGTGAGGTTATTTAGTCTCCCAGAACAAAATCCTCGTGCTTCCTTTGTTTGAGGAATCATTGCTTTAGAAATGTCATATACTCTCTCCTTACCTGTTGCGGGTACCAAATCCTCCTCCATGCCTTTATTCCTTGCCTATGCTTGTTTCTGACTTCGTACTCACCAAGATTTGGGGAGCTTATTGTGATCAGTCATAGTTACATATTGATTTGGTCACTTTACAAAAGTGCTTTTATTTTCTTTGGAGGTTTTTTGTTTGTCCGTTTGGGGGATTTATTTTATTTTATTTGCTCCAAAGTATAAAAAGTAATCACCTTCAAGAGGATTGCTGTATATTCAACTCTATTTTCTTCTGATTTTTCAGTTATTTAATAACTACTCTTGAATTCAGCCAAGATTCATTTTGGTCTATAGTATGAAGGAATGATCTAAGATCCTTTTTTACAAATTGAAAAGCATTTTGCTTTGTTTTATTTTTGAGACAGGGTCTCATGATGTACCCTAGGCTGGTATGGAACTCCCTATGAGGTCCAGATTAGCCTTGAACTCAGGATTCTCCTGTCTTAGTCTCCTGAGTGTTGGAGGCACCTGGCCTAAAATGTTAAATATTTTGGAATGGTTCTTCCTTTCCTTATTGTATTACACATGGCATGCATATATATGCATATATATGTGTATATATACATATATGTATTGTTTCTGTTCTATTCTAGTTTTTCATTTGTACATTTGTTTTAATGTAATAGTTTTGCAGAATATTTGTTTAACTATGCAAAGATGTGCTGTATTTGTTTAACTATGTAAAGATAAGTTGCTGTTTCACCTTGCCTGCCTAAGGCACCTGACTGGTCTAATAAAAAGCTGAACAGCCAATAATGAGGGAGGAGGTACAGACAGGACTCCCAGGCAGGGAGAGTAAGTAAGAGGAGGAATTTAGGCCATGAAGGAGAGAGGAGATACCAGGGACCAGACACTAAGACATGGAGGAACCAGGTAAGTTGGACATACAGAATGAAAGAAAGGTAAAAAGCCATGAGGCAAAACACAGATGAATAGAAACAGGTTGAATTAAATTAAAAGAGCTAGTGGGGCAAGCCTAAGCTAAGACCAAGCATTCATAATTAATAATAAATCTCTGTGTCTTTATGTGGGAGCTCGTTGGTGGCCCAAAGAAAATGCCAACTACATTATAGTTTTAGTAGACTATTCAATTAGTGTAGTCTCTCTTTGTAATTAAAAAGAACTTTTGAGCTAGTGGGGTGGCTTTGCAGGTAAAGATGCTTGCTGCTAGACCTGATGACCTCAGTTTAATCCCCAGATGCCACATGGTGGAAAGAAAGAACCAACTCCTGCAGGTTGTCCTCTGATCTCCACAAGTGCCCCGGGGCATAGACAAGCACCACATGCAATAAATAAAGAAATGGAAAGCAATGTTTTCCATTATTTGTATCTTATTCTCCCAGATCAATTGTTACAATGATTGTACTAGGTTCAAAGATTTTGACACTAATTACCATCCTTTGTTCTTTGATAGGACCATGCCTGCTCCTCCAATGTGACCACTTAAGTTAACAATTACCAATTAGGTTAACAGTAAGGGAACCATACATGGAGTTGACTCATGCTGCTGAATTCTGCAGTGTTGTCTGAAACACTTCAAAAGTCTCTGAGTCTGATGGAGGATTTTTTTTTTTTTTAAGACTTAAAAGTAACAAAACATCTATACAAGTTCTCCCTGGGAAGCTGTGCAATGATTTGGAAGAAGAAAGATTTCTCTTTGAAGCAAATAAATACCAAGAATGTGAAGCCCGAGTGATTGAAAATAGAAATTTAATGTGCCCTCGAGTATGTTACATATATTGCAATAAACCTTTCACAATGTTCTCAAAATTTAAACCATGCGCTGTCGACAATTTGACAATACAGCCCCTTGTGCTTATTGTCCTGCTCAAGTTATTCTTCATGTACATTAATTTGCCTAAGAATCATTTTGAACCTTGAAGGAAACGATTTTTTCCTTTAAAAACTATTTTAAAAATTGAAAGCATCTACATTTTGTGGCAATTATTTCTCATCGGAAAGCAAAACTTCTGTTGTAGCACACACAAAAGCTTTCAGGCTTTCAGATGGGGCTGTGCATATCACCACGGTCATTCCTTTCATACATGAGCATGTCTCAGATGAAAAGTAGATATTTTGCTTTTTTTTAATATTTCAAGTATTTCCCCAGGATCCTATGGCAAAGGTGTGGTGTCTCACTCATAATTGTTCTTATCAATGCCGAGGTCTCCTTATTATGGAACAAAGGCTCTAGCACTCCAAGCTAGGACTTACCCAGTAACAGCGGGGTGGTGGTCTGTACATGGGAAGCATGGTAGATAAGTGGAAACTCCAAAGAGCAGCTTTAACTGTTTATTTTAGCTCATAGCCGTAGATGTTCCGGTCTATGAATGTGTCTTGTTGCTCATGCTGGCACGGAACTTACTATGTAGTCTAGGCTATCCTCCAGTTCACAGCAGTCCTCCTGCCTCAGCCTCTCAACTTCTAAGACTACAAGCATGAGCCATCATGCCAAGATTCCTACACTTCTTTTCAAAATGGTTGTGCTGGTTAGTTTCATGTAAACTTGACATAAGCTAGTATTATCTGGAAGGAGGCAACCTCAATTAAGAAAATGCCTCCCGAACACCTGGGTGCAGCACATTTTCTTAGTGATTGATGGGGAAGGACCCGATCCATTTGTGATTGGTGGTGGTCCTGGGTTCTATAAAAAAGCAGGCTGAGCAAGCCATGGGGAGCAAGCCAGTAAACATCACCCCTCCATGGCCTCTGCATCAGCTCCTGCCTCCAGTTCCTGTCTCACTGTTTTTGATGGTGAACTGTTTTATGACACTACGAGTGAAATAAACCCTTCCCTTCCCATGTTGCTTTTGGCCATGGTGTTTCATCACAGCAAGAGTAACCCTAACCAAGACAATGACCCCACCAAAGACATTCCATCATAGAACCTTCAAGTCTTCCCAGATAAGAGTTCCATCTTTCCTCTTGCTTTTTATAATCACCCTCTTGCTGATAAAGCATTATATTCCAGCTGAATACTTTTCTAGACATCTCTACTACTTGATTTCCTGTTGCTCTGCCTTGTTGTCTTAGTGAAGTATCAACGGTGACTTGGGTGGATGTGTGTTTACTCCTATGACTGGATAGCCACACCCTGGTAATTACAGACTTGGTTGCCATTCAAAACTAGTACAGTCATCACTAAAACATTACAACATTATGCCGCACTGATCTTAGTGAGTTTGGAAACAACTGAAGAAATTCACCAAACATGATGGGTCTGTGAAATTATCAAGTTCAAAATTTTATAAGAAAAATCACAGTTCCAAGTGACCCATTCTCTCTTTTCAATAGCTTATAAAAGTCTGGCTCCTACTTCCTTGGCTCAGCTGACAGTCTACAAATATTTAAACGATCAAAAATGCACAGGGAAGATTTAGGGTTCAGAATTCTCTGGAGGAAAGCATTACGAAGCCAGTCAATAAGATTTATTGCCTTTTCAAAAAACAATCAAGAGCGTGTAAGAACTGTTTGAAATGATGGGGGTGGTTGAGTAAATGTACAATGGACTACTAGTCTTTAAAAGCAATGCTGTAAGTCTGTGCTCACTGACATGTGTTGGTCAGCTTTCTGCCATTGTCACAAAGACCTAGACAAGGAACTTACAAAGAGGAAATGTCCATTTCCATCTTGGCTCACAGATGCAGACATTTCTGTCCATCGCTGGTTGGTGGTGGTTTGGGGCCTGTAGTGAACACTTTGGTGGGAGCACAAGGCTGAGCAGAACTGGTCACCTTCTCGTCAAGATGTCTGATCCCATCTCTGGCCTCTGTGGGCACACACACAGGCACAGGTGAGCATACCCACCCCGGACACATGCGTGTGCATATACAGAAGCTGTAAAAGCAATACAAAGGAAGATGCCTGGAGATGACTACAAGGGTAAAAATGGTGGCCAGGTGAATGCAACCTCCTGAGTTTGACCCATGAAAAGATAGAAGAGGTGGAAGGAGAGAGCTGGCCCCCTGAAGTTGTCCTCAGGCCTCCACAGGTGCATGCTTCCACCCCACCACACATACAATAATCACAATAAATAATTTCTTAAATACAATGCAGCTTAGCTTTCACGCCATTGGTTCCACTTGCCTATGAGCACGCTGTCAAGATACTATTCATGAAGAGAACAAATGAGTCGTAAAACTTAACAGGCATGAAAAGAGCAGGGCTTGTGTGCCTGGTACCTGTGGGAAGCGGCATTATTAAGATGCACCTCCAAGGCATTCTGCAGCATCCTTGAGCTCTGACCTGTGTTCTTTAGTCTGCCCTTTCAGTGACAGAAGGAAAACTAATCTCCTGGTGTTTATTTAATTTCAAGCAAAAAAAAAAGTTGTTTTACACTGACTCATCATGGAATAAACTTCCCAGGCCAGTGGGTGAAGCTATATAGAGCAGAACAAGACACTCACTGTGACTTGTTAGTGTTTGCCCATGGCATAGCAAATACTTAACATGGAGTTTCAAATCGTAGAAAGAGGCTCTAAAGCAAAGTTTGGTTAGTGGATCTTTATGCTATTTTTAATCACTAGGATCATAGGACTGACAATATGTATTTGGAGATGTAGCTCAATAAAGAGCTTGCTTAGTATGTGCAAGGCTGCACTGTTGGGGAGGGGAGCTATGCATGGTGGAGTAGCCTATAGTGCAAGCATTTGGGAGTCTGAGACAGGAGGATCACAAACTTGATGCCAGTCCAGGCTCTAAAAACATAGCAGGATGTCAGCGAGAAGGCTCAGTGGTTAGGAGTGAGTACTGCTCTTGCAGAAGAGCCAAGTTCAGTTCCCAGCACCCAAGTTGGTGGTTCACAACTACCAACGCCAGGAGATCCAATGCCCTCTTCTGGATTCTGCCTATACGCATGTGTGTGCACACCCATGCACATTCAATTAAAAATAAAATACACATTTGAAAACAGTAACAATAGAATCCCCGAGCATGGTGATTCTCAGTTGGCCGCAGAGAAGAATTACAGTAAAAGCAAAACAAGAAGCCTGGGGTGGGGTGTGATGGGAGTGCAGGATGGTGAAGTGGTTTGAGTGAGAATGGTCCCATTGGCTTATATGCTTGAATACTTGGTCACGGTTGGTGGAACTGTTTGGGAAGGATTAGGAGGTGTGGTCTTGTTGAAGGAGGTGTGCACTGCAGGTGGGATTTGAGGTTTCAAAAGACTCAGGCCATTTTCAGTGTCTCTTTCTCTGACCCCAACTTGGGAATCAAGGTGTAAGCTCTCAGCTGTTCCTGCCACCATGCCTTTGCTCCGCCGTCATGGACTCTGACTCCCTGAAACTGAGTGCTTCCTTTTGTAAGTTGCCTTGTTCTTGGTGTCCTGTCACAGCAATAGAAAGGTAACTAAAACAGACGAGGGTTGCACATTGCTATCCCTTAAAAAGCATCATACAGAGGATAGGATAGAGGTGCAACTCAGGATCTGTGCTTAGCATGTGCTCACCATACGTCAAACCCTCAGGGCACTTATGGTGGTGGTGACTTTTTTTGTTTTTGTTTTTTGGGTTTTTTTTTTTTGGTTTTTCAAGATAGGGTTTCTCTGTGTAGCTTTGGAGTCTATCCTGGCACGCGCTCTGTAGACCAGGCTGGTCTTGAACTCACAGAGATCCGCCTACCTCAGCCTCCCGAGTGCTGGGATTAAAGGCATGCGCCACCAACACCCGGCTGTGGTGATTTTAATGCATGGCTAGATATCATAAATTCGTAAGAAAGAAGACAGACAGTAACAGAGAGGGTGGAAGGTGAAGACTTTGGATCTGGAAGTCATGGCTTTTGCCATGTGTTGACCTGAACCTTCTTCAGCAAATCACTTTAATTCTCATCACTTACTGGCTTTAAAATAGGGGTAAAATTGGACATGGTGGTATGTGCCTATAATCTCAGTACTCAGGAGGCTGAGTTCAAGGCCAGCCTCAGCTACATAGTGAGTTTTAGGCCAGCCTGGGCTACATTAGATTCCCCATCTCAAAACAAACAAACCAAGTGATCTAACATCTATATTCTTTTCTTTCTGTCTATCATTTTCTCTTTCTCATTTATTAACTCAATCACTCATTCATTCATTGATTAACAAGTATTTGAAGACAGAATCATGCTAGGCAGTAAATCAAAAATAAAATTGATACTTCCATTTGAGAATCACACTGTTAGGAAACACATTTAATAGCACATGTAAATTTGCCATCCTGAGACTCCTAAGTAAAATTGAATTAATAAATTTCTTTGAAACTCTACAGAAAAATACATGATCTTCCTGTACTAGATTTATTGTGTAAAAAACTGTGTTGATGTTTGAGCTGTGTCAAGCTCACATCAACATTCCTGACCTCACAAGCTTTCATGACTTGTGCAGCGAGCCATCAGTCTGTCACTATTCAATGGTCTAGCTCGTATTCTAAATGAAAAAACATAATGCCTACAATTGTCAGGTCCCACATAAGAAAAGACTCTGAAATATCATCAACTTCAGTAGTTATACTAATTTAAGACTCTTCGGGGGTCTTTGGGATATATTGTGATGCTCTGTAACTTTGCATTTATTAAATCCTTCCCAGAGAGTCCAGCAATGTAGCTTGATGCTTAGATTCTGTCCAATCCCCAAATCAGGTTATTGTCGAGGCAAAGAAAGAAGCCTGCGTTATTTAATGGTAAGCTCTTTCCTCTGGACTGTTCATGCTGTTTTTTTTTTTAATTCAAGTTTCAGATTCACAGCTGGCTAAGAATCAACTTAGTACATACTAAGCATGTGTGAGTCCTTAGGCAATTCCCAGCATATGCACCAAAAAATGATTTTAAAAAACTACCTTAGGGGGGATTTTTCTCAGCTCACTGGTAGAGCCCACACTAAACTTGTGTGAGGCTCTGGATTCAAACTCCAACACCAGAAACAAACAAATGACAGCAGCAACAAAACCCTCAAACACTTCTATAGATAATCCCAAAACTAGGACTGTAGCTCCCTTCTGAAAAGCTGGGCATCATCATACAATAGCATCAACCAATAGTGTGGTAAAATCTACAAACATGCCTGCCCGTTGTGGTGACTCACACATTTAATCCCAGCACTCACGAGACTAAGGCAGGTTTATGAGTTCAAAGCCAACCAGGAACGTATAGTAAATTCCAGGCCAGCCTGAACCACATAGCTGGACCCTGTCTTAAAATTAGACTAGACAGTGGTTAAGACTTATGCACTGCTCTTGAAGACCACCAACACCCCATCAGGCAGCTCACTCCAGCCTGCAGCTTCAGATGACTGGACTCCCTCCTCTGGCCTCTGTAAGTATCTAGATTCCCATACACAAGTCTCCACCACACACATGTACACATATAACAATAGATACAAGAACAAAATCAAACTGATAGCTCCTAAGAGACCAGTCTTATCCAAAACATAAAGTTCCTTGTAACTGAGTATGTTTATCATAACTATCATATAGTTATTATAAAGTGTGAGTTTGCTCACAAACTATCCGAGGATGATAAAAAGAGATCCAACATGTAGAGAACTGGATAAGCCAAAGTTTGGGGGTGCTATGTCTGAATCTTTTTTCTCCCTTGGCAGGGGATGGAAGTAGGAAAGAGGAACAAAGAAGGACAAAATATGACACAAATGCCTAAAGATGCCGTAATGGAACCTGTTACTTTGTATGTGGACTTAAAAAACAAACAAACAAACAAAAAAAAACAAAAAAAACTAAGGAAGCACAGATTCTTATTATTGGAAAAAAGAAACTTAGTATGTTGCTAAGTATCTTCCTGTGCAGCTTGAAGTTTCTGAAAGGAAACATGCAGGGCATTTCTAACGAGTAATGGATGGGTAGTTTTTTACCACTACTGAAGAGACGTATTTCCTGTGTTTGTTGTGGTGTTGGGAAACCCACAGCCAGAGATGATTCTGCTGCTAGCTTTCCCACTAGTGTAGTGAACTGTGGGTGTGCGAAGCAGACATCAAAGTTTAACGTGGCCCCTAGAAACTGGGAGTGATCCCAAGTAGAGCATCTCACCCTTCATGCTACTTTAGCAACCACCGGGAGAGATTGGATAGGCCCATTCCCTCTAGAGATTAAGACTGAGGTGATCTTGGGAGATGTACATTTCTAACAAGCTCACACATGAGATGGACTCTGACACACTGATTTGAGCTGGTCTAAAAGTATCGTGTAAAGTTCAAGGTTCACAGTTGGCATTCCTGTCTATGTGTATCTGGTAGCTGTAGAAGGCACACTCTGGAGAAAGTAAAAATTGGCAAAAGGAGCATAGTCACTGGCTGAATTCTTAGAGGAAGGTGAACTCACCCTTCATAAGCATGGCATTGCCCTTAGGAACCCACTCCTGTGAGAAGGAGGAATCAATCACGGGTGGGGGCGGGGATTAAAGGCCTGACCTCTGAAGGCTGTTGCACCGAGGCACATGCACTAGGGAGGACCCATTTAGGCTGTAGTACATAATGCATACAGAAATTAAATGGAACGTTTGTTAGAGTGACGGATTTAGACATAAATAAGAAAAGAATTCCTCTCGAAGCAAGTACCTGATTCCAGTCACTTCATGGATGTAATGTGATGTCACTACCGTCATCAGCATCACCCGGGAATTGATTAGAACTGCCACCCTTAGGTACCACCCTGGACCTACTGAATTAAAATTCTGGATCAGAAGCCTCCCAGTTTATTATAATGCCTGATAACTTCTGAGATGACTGCCAGCCGATGGTTCTCAGAACCACCACTGCTTGCTAGCATTCGTTTCCCTTTCTCAATGTCAGTCTAAGTTTTTCAATGTCTTGGGGAACGCACACAGCATTTTGAGAAACACTGTTCCAATGTCTTACATTCCCAGTGTTGACAGCATTTTGAGAGACACTGTCGTAGCTTTCATAAACTTTGGCCAGGACTCTTGTTACATCATGGCTGACAAAACATAAGCACATTTATAGCTACTACAAGGATTTCACAGAGCGCTTGTTCTTACACATGCAACAAACGCTGATGCTTTCTGTTTTTTTTTGTGTGTGTGTTTAAATACAGTAGGACCACTACATTGATTTCATGACCCACTCTAATGGGTTGCAACTGCAGCTTGAAAAACAAGCCCGGGGTCATTGCTTCTCAAATTTTCCAGTGCATTTGCAGATTCTAATTCAGAACACAGAGTGAGGTGGGGCCTGGGGCACTGTAGTTCTCTTAAGGTTCCAAGGACTGCTGGTGTTGTGGACTCATTCATTGCCCTTCTAATGGCAAGGCCCACACCATAAGGAGTGCAAAC